TATAAAGAAAAATATGAAACCAATTTCAATTGTTGGTTTAGGACTTTAAGACAATTTTTGTCAAAGTAAACTTTAGTTCGTATTACTTCGTATAAATTAGGTAGGAGTATTCAGTAACCTTTCAAATAAAAAAGGAAAATTGAATAATACATCCATCTTTCTTATAACCTTTATTATCATTGCTATTAGGGTTGAATTTCGTTGTAACGAGACCTTCAATTAGTTTAAAAGCAGGGCTTACATTTCAGGCGCCCACACTCATCAAATTAAGGTGATCAAATAAAAGGAACAGTTGCTTCATCAAAGCTCGTGCATTTATTTGTAGATGCGATAACAGTCTGTCTGTCAGTCATTGCTTATCCATATGACACTCTACGTCTTGGCCATGACATCTACGGTCATTCACCTCGTCTACAGATCGGTACACTAAAGCGATACGGTAACTTCTTATCTCGATGCAATAAGGTCGATTTTGTGATACGGCAAGTGATTATTGTTGCGTATCGCGAACACGTGATTATTATGATATTGATCTTTCATGTTTATGGAACAATACAAAAGGTTAGGTTCTACATGCTGTTGTCAAACAACAATTTGCTGCCGTGCCAAATTGCTCGTAGTGAGCTGTGATTAAATACGTATTACCTACTGTTACTTTCGTGTTAAACATACCGGAGCAGAGGGCGCGATAAATTATGTAAACACAGATGTTTTTCCTACACATAGAGGGCTACAGGAGCGCTAACGACATTTAACTACCCTAAGAAATGAGGTGAATTTGAGGAGCATATCGACCGGTCGTTTTACAGACACGCCAGACTAAGTCGCCTCGTGAGTGGGTGGCTGGATAGTATCTTTTACAAGTAGTATTAGTTCAGAATTCTAGACACCAATACTCTTAGTTAAATACATACATTAGAACGGAAAGAGTCAAGTAGTGAATTAAAAAGGAAAACAATAGCATCTAAGTTTTAATAATTTTGCCCATAAAATATAAAGGTAAGGACGTTGCCAGATTTCCAACCCCTGTCGAAGTCCCCTAAATTGGTCCCTGATTATTAGGGCATTACGAGGGTTGGCACAGCGCCCTACATGTAAGCACTGGGTCTAGTTACACGCTTGAATTATGTTCTAGAACTTTCTAATTTTGTTCGAAACCTATTATATTTATACTGAGTAGTAAATAGCTAAATATGTCATGTTATAGGAACATGGCAATAAGTTTTCCATGAACCTTTAGCGTAATAAGCAAATTATTACTAAATGCATCGGTTTTGATAAGTTATCGCGTGACTACCGGCACTACAGTTTTATAGATAAGAGCAACATGTGAAGGGGAAAGTATTGTGTATGTTAATTAATTATTTTTTATTACGAAAATCAAGATTTCAACTACCTTTTGTGTGTGGTTTATTTATGACCTAATTATTATTGTTGTAACTTTCTTTCCTAACGGTTGCTTTTTGAAGTACCGTGTGTATCTGTCTTTTTATCCTTACACCTGGAGGTCAGCTTTTTTTTAAACCAAATTAACTAAACACAAAAGCAGATCCGCAAAGCAAAAAAAAGAACATTGCACATACAACAAGAATAAAATATCCATAAATGTCGAGTTCAAAGTAAAATCTCGAAAGCGGGAAAGGCATTCTACTTACCCGTGTCATAAATAGCTATGATAATAAAAAACTATAAAAGGCGAGCCCACTGTCCGCGTATAAAACCAAGTTTATTTCTAAACCAAAGCTATTAATTACAGCCATTTTGTAAATTGTTCAACGTTGTTGCTATTTGTGTGGCTCGCTTCTTGTTTTGGTTTAAAACGCACGTTAAGTAATGGAAACTGAATAGTTCTGTTATATTGAGAGTGCAGTTAGATCGTAACTAAGTTTTTGTTGTGTTGCCAGGGAACCTAGTTACGTACGTAGTTAGATTTTGAAGAGATATTTACTCGACGTATTCTAATTCTCCTCAATTCTCTTATTATTATTACTTTTCTCTTACTTTCTGCCAAGAGTCATGTTTAGACAGGCTTTGCTTCAATCTTTAAAAGTAGTTCTTTGGTGATTATTCTGTTACTAATTGCACCCGGTACAATTACGAAATACATATATATGTAGAATATTTGATATATAGGTAAAATAGCTTAGAATATCAAGTCCATTTGATTCAGAATCTAATATTATCAAGAGCAATAAAGGTTATATCGTCGCATCGAGTATTATAAAGATTGGTACAAGTTTCTACTAGACTTAAGCCTTAGCAAATGTTACTTTAATCAGTACAGGATCACTTCCAACGGCATTTACTGTGAGTATTTCCATTTACAGTACTGTGATGACAATCTACATATCGTTTTAGTTGCCATCGTTTGGAGTGTGTTGTAAGAAATTATCATAATGCGCTATTTCTGTTCTGAACTCTGTGGCCCAGGAGATATTGTCCTTGACTTGTTCGAGAATCAGCGTGATGCAGTCATGTTCCTGTTATTATCTTGTTAGTGAACTCTGCCAACTGACGTAACACTCCTGTCTGGGTTTACACGTTTGCATACAAGGGTAAAAGATAGGTACAGACATTTAATTGAATGCTATATTGATTATGTTTTTCTGTTTAGTATAAGTTAGACTTTTGTTATGACGTTTTCGTAGCCTTAGCGGAAAAAGGTGTTTAATATGAACAGGAAAATATATTAAATACTTTACCGAAAAACTTTGTTCAAAGTATAACACAAAAAGTATTTCTCTATGGTTTGAAATGTGTAAAAAGCCATTTGACGAAAAATAATTTTCTAAATGTCAAAGTCAAAACCTGATGTAAAAGTCAGAACTGAATGCCTGGCACGGTTTGCATACAGAATTTTATAGAAAACGTTGATAAAAAAAGCGTGCGTTTGCGGTTGGCGTTCGCACGCGCGTCGGCGACTAGGCCGCGAGCCCGCGTTTCCCCCTCTACAAGCAAGTTCGACCGAACCGGGCCGCTCGATACACGGCACGGGCGTTGACGCTACTGTAACCAAGCTTCGTTTTCAGGACACTTATTTTACTTTAGGTAATACAATTGGTAAGTATTTATGACAATATGTTTAAAATAAATAGGGAATTGTTTGTAAGTGCATATTTCATAATGTTTAGGCTAAAGAAAATAAAAAAAATGGGTGTAATTTGTATGTATCTAGAAAATTCATGTCTCGTAATTTCTAATGTAAGTCTCATATTTTCCTGGTTAAACCAAACATATCATCAGCAAATGAACTTTAAATTAATAATTATATTAAGCTAAATTAGGTATATATTTGAACTTCAAATAAACATGCTGTCATACCATTTACAACATATAATATGAATATTTACCAATTATTTCAGCAATATCCTTATTTGAGTGTGCATAATGGGCTAAATATAGTCCTTTATCGTCGTGATAAAGTTATTCACCCTAGTACCGGCCATCTTGGAGCGCGTAACCGCCGCGTTCCCCCGCCGCACGCCAGTCGCTCGATGAGCGCCCGCCCGTATGTACGACCCATTCACGAAATAACAAGTTGCCAACAAAGTGCGTCACCATGCAGTTTGAATATGATCCCGAGAGGCTTATAGAAGAAGTCAGAAAACGACCAGGGATATGGAATTACGAAGATTTGGAGTACCGTGCCAAAACAATGAGGTACAAACTTTGGAACGAAGTGGTTACGGAACTTATGAATTCAGACGTCAAGGTCTCTAAAAGTGAAATGAGAGAACTCGGTGAGTATCTTGTTACTTTGCAGTACTTATTTATTTTTAATTTATAAATGGAGATAGACAATTAATATGTAGACAAGGCTTACAAACAGACTATGTAAAACGAACCGGTAAAGTTTAATGCACCAACATCACGGAGTGGACGTAAACATAGATTTGTTTTTGAAACTTTGTTGCTATGGCGCTGCAATAGATGGCGCTAGGTGTCTAAACCGGCGACGCCGACATTCTTTTTTAACCGTTTTATGTTTCAAATGTGTTTTTGATGGCTCTTTCTAAAGTGGCACAGTTTAATGATATTTATGGACACTTCATCATACATTTGCATACAGATTGCTGTTGCTATTATTTTTTTTTACACATAATGTATCCATTTTATGGGACTAATATAATACATATTTTTTAATTATGAATAATACTTATTGTACTAAGGGATTAGCTATGCATTCGTATGTGAAGTGCTCGATTGGAAGTTTAATTGAATTGCCTCTTTCAGGTCTCAAAAGTATATATCATATAAAAGTACATATCATAAAAAAACCTAATTTGTTTTAATTATTTTTGTTTCAGAAATCCAACTACAAAAGAAATGGAAGAGTATTCGGGACTGCTTTCAGAAGTACGTTGCAAATCCTAATAGAACGAAGAAACCATATATTTATTCTAGACAGTTACAATTTTTATTGAAAGATCAAGAGGAATTACCACGCAAAGAGGATGGAGGAGGAACAACTGAATCAGATGATGACAGACCAATTAAAAAGAAGAAAGTGTGGCGATCGAAAAAGAAGTTGAAATTAGTAAAAGAGGAGACTTCAGAAGATGACAATGACAATAGCGTTAATTTCGAAGCTATCGATGATTCCAGAGATTATACTTTGGACACGTCCGAAACTGGACGATCAGCGAAGGTACCAAAAGCGAGTAAACCACAAGTAGACGAGTTTGCATTTGCCAGTGTTGATACTCAAATGAAAACTGAATCGGATGACCCAGATAGAATGTTTTTACTGTCACTTTTGCCCCATTTGAAGACGATACCAGAGGAATTTCGTTTGAACGTTAAAATGGATATGATGCACGTGCTTCGAAACGCGAGCTATAATAGCGCTAGAGAACATAAGTTGATTTGAATTGTCATAGTTTATAGTAAATATTTAGTAAAGTCGTAATGACTGTTTATGAACAAATATAAAGACTCGTTATAATACATTCCTAATGTTTAATATTAAACTATGTGACTAAATTATCTGTTTGACTTACCTTAAATCTAAATATGTAAGCGATTGGAGACCTCCAACTGCATTTGGAACTGTTCTGATGATGTTTTGTGATAATAGTAACTTCTCTAAAAACACGTATGACGTGAGTTCATCTGGTAATTCACTGAATCGATTTTTGGACAGATCTGAAACAAAGGGAGGTTTATATTTAGTACTGTGTAGGTTGACAAGGATAAATATGTTTAAAGTTTAACAAAAATAAACCAACATTTTACATATTATATTATTTATTATTCATGCACATCACACATACACATAAAAGGAAAATAAAAACAGAAACAAAGGTACATAAGGTGTGTAGAGGTATTAATGTATAAGTACCTAAGTAGTTTAAATTTTTCTATGGCGAAAAGTACAATGGGTTTATTATTATAAAATAATCGTCTTACGAAACCATATTAGAACCATGGCGATTGAAAACTTCAAAGAATGAAACTAAATATTTTCAGTTCGTCACAAACGAAGGGGGCGAGCCCTTAACGGTTATAATATTTTCCTTTGTAAGTGAGACGTGGTTTTACGGCTTAAGTAATGGCAGCCATGAAAGTTCACCGTAATAATGATTTAGTACGGTTACCCAAGTATTAATAAATAAAAAGTTATTGCTTAGGATATGTGGGTAAGTCACAAAAATAGATTGAAACCATAATTTTTGTATTGGTGCGAAGACGACAGAGGTGATTTCGAAAATTAGTAATTGTTTATAAATATTTTGGTTAATATGGCCTGGCAATCAGGTCACGATTTTTATTGTTATTGCACTAATTTTAGCTGTTGCACAGCAAAAAGAGTGATATAAATGAATGTAACTAAAACAAAAATGTAAAATAAATTTTCACACGTGACTTTACGATAACGGCTCTTGAACTCTTAATGAACACAAGTATATTTGTTTGCCAACATTAATATGATATCAAATATAGCCAATAAGACAGCGCAGACAGTTTGTAGGCTATGTAAACTAGTTAGGTTCGTTGACACAAAACTGCGCCGGAGTGCGGTTGATGGGTAACCGCAGGCAAGACAGGCAAGGATAAGAACTGATTATTATGTAATCAGAGAGCTTGATACTCCTGCAATATATACCTCTATAATCTTTGGAATATTATTATCTTAAAAGCAAGCCGTTGCCAAGACGACGTATAAATAATTATAATTTTATAGCTGAGAATGCAATAAATATCTAGCCATCCGGTGGTCACACAATATAAATTTAATACTGAAAGGTCGACGAGGAGGTTCATGAGAGTTATAACAATATCACGTTTTTACTCCTGGAAAGATAGTGTTCAGTGTTCGTATTTATCGAAAATAACAGTCAAGTGGATGTCATAGTGGATGCTAGGTCTAACACAAAGTAATATAGGAGACATAGTTCATATAAATTCCTTCTATAGAAGTCCAATGATAACATCGGCGTGCAACGGATGCTTGCTGCTACTAATAAGGAAGAAATCAAGATAGACAAGATTAAATATGCAAGGTTCACAAAAAACACGGTCGGCCTTAACCCCACACGATTATGTTGTTGCCCATTTTAAACCGGTTACAGCCAAAAAAAAATGATTTTAATTCTTTTACTCTAATAAAGTATAATTAAAGACAACGTTGCTATGCTACGGGATTGCCTTATAAATCGATTTTAAGGATCGATTAGGAAGCGTTAAAAGCTAATCGATTCGACTTAGGATGTTGAGTATCGGCACTACAATTCACCTCTACTTGATGGCCATAACTAACGTAATCTAATCTCAAGTCGTTATTGAGAACATACATATTGGATAGTTGAACTCAATTCATTTGATTTATTAACGGTCTAACTAGCTATTGTGGACAGATATATTGACAGTTGAATAAATAAAAAACATCTGTTAATCCAGTCAAGTGGGTTCCATGAAAGTTTATCATGGCATCTATAAGTAGTGTGGTGAAATATATGTTTTACTCTAAACAGGCCCGTCTAAATGTTGTACGATGACATTTTCCTTGTGACATTTTTTGCTTGCGTTTAATCCCAAGTTTTTGCGAAAAGGGGACGCTTTGTGGTGTCGAGCTTTGGTGCTCCAAATGATAAATTCTCGTAATACCACAGTCCAGTAATGTAAAACGAGAACAGTACTGTACAAATATTAAAGCAAAAGAATTTAAGACAATTTAAACAGTGGGCTCAAATAGTTTGATGATAGACTGACTAAACATTAAGTAACGTTATCAATAAATGTAGGAATGACTGTGAACGATATCATTGATTCAAGTTATCTATAAATACTCCGCCACACTACGTACTTATTTGAAGTTGAATCACATGCCGCCACAAAGTGTGTCAACATCAACGATCAATGGGCGAGACTGCACCAAAACTGGTTTCACCTTACACAGTTTCGTGAGAACTGTCCAATGCATTTCGTTAAACTTTTTCTTCGCTATAATTTCAACGTTTTCCTGCTGCTATGGTCATCATTATACTGGTAAACGCGAGTTGGAAATATCATAATTGGATGGCAAGAGAACGCTCAGAGGAAGCCATACTTAATAATACTGTAAGTATTTCATTCATAACTGCTTAAGAACAGTTACTTTTTACACTTTACATTCCTCACTAAAACTACAACGTTCAAAAAGAAATGACAAAAACAATAGACTTATATCAATATGAACTAGTTCTTGTATGACAGTAATAATTTGTCGTGTCAACTTCACTATCAGTAGGCACCCAAAAAACTTGTTAGCAAAACATCGTAAATGATATCGTGAATTCGTGATATAATGCTGGCGACCTAATTTTTCAAATACTGATAATGCTTTCAAGTAATATAGTTAATGGAAACACTCCAGAGAGTAGTTGTATCTACTTATTTAGGGGGCGGCTAGGGTACTCCATCAGCTCTAATACCTTACGTATACGCACAATGTATTAAATGAAAAAAACAATGAACTTTCGACAATTTTTATGGCAAACTATAAAACAAGCCATCAAATATTAATTGAGCTAAATTCCTACGAAGTCAAGTAAGTGTAAATAACAAAGGAGCACACAATTAAAAATGTACAAACTTTTCCAGTTCCATTACTAAAACAATGAGAAAGCCACTCCAATTTTCAAAGACAGGCTCAGAAAGACGAAGTTCATCAAGGCTTGTTCCTATGTAAAGGCTGAGAATAAAGGTTTCTTTTCCTTGCTGACAGACAACGTGGGCGGTGACAAAAGGAGGTCTCCTAAGCATTAATGACTAGAGCTACGCGTTTGAACAATGAATATGAGAACTACTCTTAGACATAATGAAAGTTTTAAATCTTGAGACCTCCTTGTTACTCACAATTATGAGCATGGTTTGGAAGAAATTAATCCTTTAAGAATAGAAACAGAATAGTTAACTAATAAAGTTCTAAAATATATTACCGTGGTTACAACATCCTAGGACAAAAGAATACACATTACAATTTAGAATAGCCGATGACATAAGAATCTAAAATAGTTCAATATCATTACAAGCGTCCAAAAGACGTTACTATAATAAAATCGAGAACGTGCGTTTCTAGTTAGCAATTAATCAGTACAAGAGAATTAACAGAACTAATCTGAAACGCGTTACAATTCATGAACAGTGCGGACACATTCATAAATCTAACGCAATTGAGGCCAACGTGAGACTTAACAACTCCGAGGACAACACTCCGGGTCCTGGCGTTCGATGATTATATCCTAGAGTTTCCGGCCAGTGTCATAAATACAACGTGTTCGTTACAACACTTATGAGTCATGGAACAGGGAGCTGAGCAATGTTTAAACGATATGCCTCAGTACTCTATGAAGCACAAGTAAACCTAGACGATATTATGTAAACTTGTGCAAATCCTAGAGAATAGTGAGAACATAAAATATAATAATAGTCTATAATAAGGTCTCAAAATAAACAATGAAGCCTGCAATGACATAATATGTTATATAATTATTTTGCTAAGCGTTTGATGAGAATTAATAAGCGTAAAATATCACGTTGGCGAACCAATCGAGCGACATCAAAGGGTTACAGTCCTCGACGCAGTTTATAGAGAAAACAAAAATAAATTCAAGAGCACAGTGTATGCAGTTTCTGATGATGTAATTCTGGTGAAACGATCAGACGAGATAAGGCAACGATCGTTAATACAAACTGGAACACAAACATTAGTTACCGCAGATCAAAATTACACTCTTATTGACGGATGCTGACAAGATGTTTATGGTCCACGCTTTTCGTAAAACATCGTCTATGCGCCTCAAAGAGTAATGGAATAATAAAAGAACTCCAATACGGATTCGTTGTTAATAAAATTCAAAATTATACAAATGCTACCTCGGGTCTTGTTTTTCTATGCTTCGTATTGGAAATCTCGGTTCTATCATAACAGTGAATACAAATTACCTTTCTCAAATCCTTCAGCACCGGCATAATACAAATATCTGGGATACTGAAAATGTCTACATGGGGATAGAGTATATTTTTATACAAAAGGTGAGCTATTTCCACGTGATGAAGGGAGGGCTGACGGCTAAAGGCCATTAGATAATGTGCCACAAGCCCACAACCCAACAACCCTGAACTTTTGATTGACAACGTAAATGACAGAGTTTGAAAGAAAATACCGCTTGTAAAAATGTCTAGAGAAATTGAAACCTTAGACATGTTTGATGTAACAGTTATTTACTACAACAAAACACTCGATAGAAATGATGTCATCATTGCTTTCCAGGTAGACCATATCGCAGGCAAACATTGATCCCATGTTAACTGATACGTTTGATAATGTCAAAACCTTTTAGTGAGGCGATATACGTTCGTACAGTTCATCCATAATCCATACCTATGAAAATGTATGTAAAAATACAGAAAAAGTAAATGCCGATACTGTAAACAAAGAAATGAAATGATCTTTTTTATAATGGTGTTTGCGTCAGCTTCTCTTATCAACACATATATTCGCGCATGAGTAAATAGAGAAATATACAATTATTGTGTCAGAGATCAGAAATACACATTTTTTATTTACTTTCACTGTTTACATACGTCTCCGAATTGTGTCTTTAGATTCAAAACATGTGCGGAATTAGCAAGCGATGAATATTTAGCGTGAGATGTAATTC